TGGTTGGTTGGTTGGTTGGTTGGTTGGTTGGTTGGTTGGTTGGTTGGTTGGTTAGCTGGTTGGCTGGTTGGCCAGCCCAGGATGGTGTGCGAATTTGGATAGGAATGGGGGTGAAAGGATCCTGGAGAAAATGGGGGAAGGGAAGGCTGCCATACAGTAATTCTGTTGGGAAAGGAAAACAGATAGCTTTACAGAATCTGTAAAAGACCAAGGTACCCATTTACAGAACTTCAGAGTGTTTAATGATAATGTAGGATGTCTCGAGTCCATACTGGTTCCTATGGTTTTCTCATATTTCCATTCAGCAGAAATTCATTTAGAAACTCACTGGTTTTCTCAGGAAGGCATGGCAACTATAGATACTGTGATCCCAGGGGTGACATGTTGTCTGATATTCCACTATCTCAAGCTTGTGGAAATATGAGAAATCTGAAAGGTTATCAGGTTTTAACATTGTGAAATAGTTGGATTTGTGTGTAAATTCTGTAATTTGCAGGAAAGTTGTATTATTCAAGCTCTTTACCAGTAGCTTAGGGGTGAAATGAGTAGGTGTAGGGTCCAGTTGAAAGACCAGACTTGCAATAACTCATAGAGCCTAAACATGCAAAGGGGCCACACTGTACATGAAGGATCTATGAAAGCCAGCCCTCCCAATCAGTGAGCACATGACCAAAAGCATGTGTTCTATTGCTGCTCTGAATTAAAAGTATGAATTATCAAAAGAAAAACATCTTATTCAGCAGTACACCTTGTGAGCTACATTAGTGACTGACCTGTTAGAAGATGCCCACTGTGCAAGAGCAGCACGAGCATCACATTGGTAACCAACCACATCATGACTGCATTTAAGTCCTGCTCAACAAGAAGTTGATAATACCCCGCACCATTCCCAGGCACGAAGCCAGAGATAGACAGTTCCCAAGCCCTAGGAGTGAATCTATTGCTATTATTCTTCTAAATGTATGTAGTATTAAACCAACACCTAACGACCACTTGTACCCACAAATTAATGTGTTTTTCACTCTTTATTACATAAATTTCTATTTGCAGGAGATGGCGATCAACGCACAGACACACAACTGGCTGAGGTGTACAGAATAAGAGAATGCAGAATGTTCAGCGCTAAATGCTATATGTATGCCATACTCCCTCCTCCCAAGGTTCAGGGATCATTATGGAAGGGGTTCCTGCAAGAGCCAGAGGCAACGAATGACGGTAAGGAAGCAATGCCTTCTGGACACAGACAACAGCAGTACATGTGAACGCACGGAATTGTGACTGTAGCCCAGAACGGACGGACGGCACCACTACCACTACAATGAACCCATA